CTGTTACGCGAAAATTCCGTCGTCAAAGACGATGTCGCGTTGCGTCGGCGCGATTTTGAGAAAAGAACGTGTGGAACGTCGCGTGGCGAGCGCAATTTCGAGGGAACGACTGTCGCTCCGTTAACGGAGATATAGGATCATCCTGTGCCCGCCTCATGACTGAACTATGTCAGACGGGGCACTGTCAATTGGATAACTACTTACCCCACATTGGCACAGTATTGTCGCGTGTATGTGCGCGTAATGCAACCTTTCGTTGATGCTGAAAGCCTGCACGTAGTCCATGTTCTCCCGCTTCTTCTACATCACTTGATCTTCTTTTTCTTCTTCTTCTTCTTCTTCTTTTATGAATACTTGTTTCTTTTGAGATTCCTTTGATAATATGTTGCATCTTCTTGGCTTTCCACTTTTCTTTTTCCCATTTCCCTTTTCTAGTTCTATTCTCGCATAGAGTGACCGAGAAACCGTTAGACTCCGTCTAACGTTCCATACGGAAAAGATGATCGATTTAAATTTGATTTGAAAGTCCTGCCAATTCTCATTCTTATTTCTTATTTCTTATTTTTAAAGAAATCTATTGTCAATTCATCATCCAATTACTTGCTGTTGCATTTATTGTATTTATTGCCTCTGACATTACTTGGAATCGAAGTACTACGGAGCTGGAAGATCGTATTATCTCGTGCGTATATTCTATCGTTATTTCGGTAGCATAAATTAACTGATGACGCGGGAAGAATAATCCGTATCATACAGCACATCGGCTCAATCACGCCGACCTTGCAAACCAACTAATACCGATCTTCGCGAGAAAGCCTATAGATAAATTCCAATTTTTGTTAATATGCCACGTTTATCATGCAAAATCATTTTTTTTCTTCATTCTCATATCATGTTAAATATTCCATCGATTTAAAAAATCTATAATTTTATATATATATATATTAGGTGTAGTAAAAAGAAATCCATTATTTTTGCATAAAATTGAATGGAAAAATAATGGATTTCTTTTTACTACACCTAATATATATATATATA